GATAGACTTATCTTTGGTATTTTCATGGTTTACAGCTCCGCCAGTTTTAAACCATGATGGCACCACAGGCCCCTAGCATGGTGTAGGTGGTATGTAACTGAGTCTGTTGTTTCCTGCCAGGCAAAAAAAAAATAGCAAGTTGGAGATAAGTGGGCAGTAGGGAGTTACTCTGCAGGAACGAATAGATTTGTCCATGGATGCAAACTGAGAGCTGAACTCTTCATTCCTCCCGCCCCGGATCAGTGCAGTGGAATGCTTAGGTAATGGAAAAGATGTGAATGTTTAGATGACATCTCACAGCTGCAGGGAGGTTAGAAGAGAATTGTTGTGTGCATTTCAGGCCAAAAGCTTTGGCATCCCAATGTAATTGTGTAATAATGTGTGTTCCGTCCATATCACAACATTATGTTCTGTGAAAATCTTTCTGAAACTAAGGGGATCAGTGAAGACAGTGAACATTTGCACCTCAAAGATTATTTCCACAAGAGTAAGAAAGAAGAAAAAAAGGTTAAGAATAGAGATGTATTTGAAAAAAGCAGCTCACTCAGGGTTGCTGAAGTAGGAAGGATTGTAGCACATGAAGGACTTAGCTGCCCAGTTTTGTCAAAGGCTCCTCTGTGCACTCCGCTGGCCAAGACTTGTTAGTATGCACTGTGGGATGCTTTTTGAAAGTGTCTTCCTTGCTACCGCAGTATACTGTCTAGTTAGTCTAGATAATTTCTCAGCTTCTCTGGCAGTGACCATGAAAACTGCTGTGTTTTGACTGAAAATGTTTATGCAAATTCCTCTGCTGTTAAATTGATGGTTGCTGGGTGATAAACAAATCCCAATTGTTGTGCGTTACAGAATACCCATTCTTGCACGTTTCTCCTGACTGGTGACTCATCTAGAGTTTATTGTTTTGGTCACAGAGAGTGGTAATTATGACTAGGTAGACAGGCAGCAGTCCAGAAGCTCTCGCTTCACATTTGCTGCAGTAGAATAACATTTGTCTTGCATTGGTAGAAACTGGATGAGACACAGCAAGAGTTCTGAGGTGGGGCACTTGTGAGGGAGCTTTCTATTCAGTGGCATCAGGGAGAATAACAGGAGTTAGTGGTTTAAGTTTGAAAATTGAGAGGTACAACAAGTTGTGCAAGTGGGTTGAATACAACTACATTTTTGAGAGGAATACCACCATAAATGTTCTTCCCTGAAATGACACCACATCCTGTATCTTCTGTAAGATATTCACGTAGCATCACTGCTATATCACAGTGTTAAAGTTAAACCACAGACCAACTGAGCCACCTCAGAGTGTTTTGGTTGACTCAGATGACCAGTAGAGATGATGAGAGGAATAATAACAGTGAGCTAATCTCCTTCTCAAATCCTTGGAATTTGGAGGCTCACTATTGGGCCTGAGAAAGCCCCTGTTTTCTCCATTAGACGAGGAGAGGAAATCCCCTCACCCCTGTGCCCTCTGGAATGTAGAGAGAGAGAGACAGGGGGAGAGTCATGGAGCTCAACTGTGGCTCAGAGATTTTGAATTTCAACAAGGCATCTCAGTACACGACATTCATTTTTACTTTAGCCATACAGCTGATTTTGCTCATTTTCCTAATCAATCAAAGCATACTCAGTGATGTACATTTTTGAAAGATTTAAGGAAATCTATTTGCAATGTCTGGTAACATCAACATTGGTTCTTTGGCTTGATATGTGTGCTGTAATCTTTTATTAGTATCTGTGTAAGTCTCTGCAACCTTTTCGCATCACTGCCAAAGTGTTAAGATGTGCAGGGAGGGTACAACTGGCCCCTTCTCCACAGGGAATCTTAATGAATCCCTGTAACCCACACTGCACTGGTGTCATCTATATTTCAGGAGCTTAGCAACCAGAGTGGTCTGTAAGGCCAGAGCCCCTCCCTCCATAACCCGACGTCCCCTAAAACAGACCTCTACCTTAGAAGACTGCAGTTCAATATCTGGGTCAGGCCTAAATATTCATTTCTTTCTTGCCAGTGCCGTCTATTTTAACCCTGAGTGCAACTTGTGTTGACCTGGGAATATGGCAGGGAACCCCAAAATATCGATCTTCCTTTGGAAAGTATTCACTAAGCACTTTTCTTGTGCTAAGCATTTTTTTGTCATCAGTGAATTAACTATGATTGCTTTATTCAAATCATTAAAATCTGTTTGTAGTGTACATGCACACAGGAAAGTGGGTTAGAAATGAATAATTTAAGTGGTGACCTCTATGATAAAGTGCTGAGTTCAGTGTTGTTGGTGTCTGTATGAGTGTGTGTGTGTATCCTTTCCATAAACCCTTTCACTGGCCTGGTTACTGATAACAAAGACAGGAAGAGCACAGGTCAGACTTTACTTCCTGATCAGAGGGAGCAGCCCTCATTATCATCACACTTTAACTTCTGCATACTGAACTGAAGGTTAATTTGATACAAATGACATGTTGTTCTTTGGACAATGCAAGGAAATGTTGCAGCAGATGCTCACATACACAACTGCACATTTATGTAGAAATCCTTTTTTTTCTATTATGACACTTTACAATGCTTACGTGGAACAACGATGAAATGTCACTGTCCTTTTTTTTTTTTTTTTTACTGCTTTCATGTGCTTCTTAGAGCCAAAGTTTTCTCTCCTCATTCAGGTCTGGTGAACCTCACTGTGTCAGCTGAAATGAAATGTTTACTGTTAGGGAGGAGCAGATTGTGAATAATGATATGAATCACCTCATTGTTCCCATTAGTTTGACATTCAAAGAGGAAGCGACAGAATCTGTCTACAGATAGAGATAAAATGATGTGGGGAGAGAATAACATTTTAATAATTTACTTTTATAGCACAAAACGGTTAAAAAGTGCTTCAAATATAGGTTAAAATACAGGAATACAAAGAAACAGACATTCACAAGCATAACTACATACGATTGAGCATACATCCATACGTACACATACACATGAATTAAGAATGCAACCAAAATAAAGAATAGCTTAAGGCCAATGTGGAGTGTTATAAAAAGGCTAATCTGTAGAAATGAGATTTCAGAAGCCTTTTGAAACAAAGCACAAATTCAGCACATCTGATGGAAAGAGGAACTGTGTTCCAAAGTTTAAGAGCAACAACCTCAAAAGCATTATCACCCTTGCATTTTAAATATGAACGAGGAACAGATAACCTGCAGAGAGCAGATGATCAGAGAGGCTGAAAACTTGTAAAAGGGCTCAGCATCTTGGCTACACAATCACGAGCCATGTAATTAATAGAATTTTGAAATCAATTTTATATTTTATTGAAAGCCAGTGAAGGAAGTCAAGGATTTGGGTGACGTGGAGCTGAAAACCAGTATCAGTTAATGGTCTTGCTGCAGAATTTCGGGCATGCTGAAGACGAGCTGGGAGGACCGAGGAATACAAGTGAGAGTTACAGTAAATTAAATGAGAAAAGATAAGCTTATGTAATAAAAGTATGCTTTTAGGAGGTATTAGAAACTGGTGGACAACAACGTTTTTTTAGAAAAGAATTTGGAGAGGAGCCCTTAGTGTTGGTATCTAGGGAAGGTTTTCTGAGGAGAGGGAACACACTGCCCATCCTGAAAAAATCAGGTATGCAGCCAGGGAAGAGAAAGATTGATTGATAATGGATCGAGGATAGAGGGAAATAACTGGTAGAAATGTTTTAAGGAATTTAGTAGGGATACTATCAGCTGACCAGGATCATGAGGGGATAGGAGAGACTATGTCCAGGAGTTCATGCGTGGAAATGAGGTTGGTTAAGAAAGCAAAGAAAAAAGGCCCCAAGATACCAAGTCTGTCACAGCACTAGCTCTATTAGTCTCTCATTATACCATTGTGGGTTTACAGTTGTTGCTTATTCTTGACCTTTGGATCGCCAAAGGTAGAATTAAGATATCAACTGTGTATTCACTGTCAGAATTGTATGTGAGTCCACAGGAAGTGGTGGGCTTTGACTTATAAGAAAACAGGATATTGGCTCTTCAGTCTCATCGGGTTAGGATACATCCTCTGATGCAGGCACAGGATTTCACTATTGTCACATCTTCTGTCACTGACTTACAACTTTCGACCATTACAATAAAAGGCAAAATGATAGAGAGAGTCTCTGAAGGATTAAACCACCATTAAAACAGCCATCACTGCCTGTTTTAATTATCGTTTTAATGCAGTGTACCATTATAGTCGAACTAGTGATGCTCTGAAATGAAACTTTTACCAATATCCAATCATTTTTATGGTAATGTCTGTGGATACAACTATAAATAGTCTTCATTGCTTTGCCAGTTATTGTCCAACTGAGAAAATGACCAACATTTCATGCCTCCCTGACTCAGTAATCTAATGGAGAGGTAGTCCTCTCTGGTCAAAGACATAATGAACAAAATTGTCCTTGCAAAGTTATTTACAATATATCCTTGTCTTTTAATAAACCCTGTGCATATGTGACATTAGTGATACAATGATTTCCTGTCTGTCCACAGGCTATGCAAGTGAAGACATGGCATGCAGTCATTGACTGTCAGTTTGTGCTCTGTTGGAAGTTCTGGTCGACACGTTGTGGCGTCAGGCAGAAGCAGTAGACTACATGTTCACCTTCTAAGGGCAGGGCCATCGTTGAGCAGATAGATGACCAGTGACGTCTATCTTCTATGGAAGGGGTTTCGCACACGATGCTGTCTTGCAGTGGAGAATGACAGCTTCATTACTACTGATCAGCTGCAATGACCTTTTGATGGCGAACTTTATAAAGATCTAGGATTCATGAGTAGGCAATTTGGCACTTTAATAGGAGGGGTGGGGGGTGAGGATTCAAGATTTGTTGGAGCAAAGCCTAGAGCCTTGGCACAGGGAGTTACTGTCACAGTGAAAGCTGTTAAGTAACAACTACCATCTGTCCCAGCCCTTGTCCGCACACTTCTCTTCTCTATGTATGGGGTTTTTTTACCGAAGGCTAATGCTATGTTTCTACTCTTGTTCACAGGTTGTGTCAGTGACCGTTTGGGTTCAGAGAACTATATGAATGCGGGTGTGTGTGTGTGTTTGAATGCAAAGAATCCAGCAATGGCGACCAGTAAAAGTAAAAACCAGAGCTCCCTGGCACTGCACAAGGTGATAATGGTGGGAAGTGGAGGTGTGGGGAAGTCGGCCCTCACCCTGCAGTTCATGTATGATGAGGTGAGTTAACACAGCACTTTAAACACTAGACACTGCTGTGACTTAATGACCACAGCAGATAGAAAAGCAGCGGTTCCAACAGTAAGCATTTATGTCTAGCCAGTTCACTTTTTTATTATTTGTTTAATGTAAGTATCAATTACTGGCTAAATAAGTGGTTGGTGGTTAAATAACTCAGCACTTTCTGCAACTGCTCCACATTTAATGCCTTCATTTCAATGGTTCAACAAAGAAACACTTTTAATGTGAAGCAATTCCAAGGAACCTTCATTGAAATGCTGCTGTCGGTTGCCCTTTCTTGCCACTGATTCTCTGACTCTACACAAGTGAGGATATGATCAGTTTGTCATATCAACCACAGCCAGGACTAGACCCAATCGCAATGCAGATTTCGGGGCCTGAGCTTTACCCTGAAATAGTTGCCCTGCTTACAAGCAACAAACATTAGCACGCATGCTTAGTTAACATTCCATTTACGTAACTCACATGGCTCTGGCAGCACCTAACATTAGCCTACAGTTAGCCAGTAGCTTGCTCAAACTTGGGTTGACACGACAACAAAATGCCTAAAGGTAAATGATCTAAAGTGTGGCTTCATAGGCGATATGATTCAGACACCGCATAAAAGAAGGAAACATGTAAAACTTTATGAAGCACCTGGTGAACGGATGAAAGCATTTGAAAGCAGAGTGATGCTCCATGTTTGAGTGAGCATCATCAACACATCAGCCGGCAGTGTGAGCGTCCCTGGCCCTGGCGGTGGGAGATGACGAGTTTGGAGCTGGAGAATTTTGTTATATTAATCACAGAAACTGTTATTTAGTGTTAAATTATTGTAGTCTGTTCATTTTATTTATAATGTTAGACTGTTAACAGTTAATCTGTTCTTATAGTCAACCCTTGTTTTTTTAAAGCCATCAGTCCTGGCCTTGTTTAGGCACTGGTACAGTTTTAAAAGTTTTGATTGGTACTGGTGTCAGCAAAAAGCCCAAACAATACCCAACCCTAATTAGCAGCTGCTTTCAATCATCAGTCTGATCTCCATTGGCTCAGTGACAGGTCCATTTTAACTATTGTAGACGTCTCCATCAGCTGCATGCATTATCTGCTCTTGCTTCACTTTAGGCATGTAAATGCATCATTTAACAGCTTTTCTAAGCTTCAAAAAGGAAATAATCTTTTCACTCCCAGTTTGTGGAAGACTACGAGCCCACCAAGGCAGACAGCTACAGAAAGAAGGTTGTTCTGGATGGGGAGGAGGTCCAGATTGACATTCTGGACACAGCAGGGCAGGAGGACTACGCTGCTATCAGGGACAACTACTTTCGCAGCGGGGAGGGCTTCCTACTGGTCTTCTCCATCACAGAGCACGAGTCTTTCACCGCCACTGCTGAATTCAGGTACAGATGAAAGAGTGTAAATTTAAGCTTCACTCCATGAACTTTGAATAGAGGATAACTATTTTTTTAAAATGACTATGTTGGTGCTGGACTGTAATCAATCAAACAGTTGTCATTGTGATTGTTGGAGAATGGATTCAAAGTAGGCAAAGGCCCCAAACAGCCAGTAAAATGTTGGTATGCTGCTTTAAATCATTTATTTATTTTCTTGCTGCTGATCTCTCTGCCAATACCTAAATTAATAATGCAAATCCAGGTAAGAAGATTGTTAAGAAGAACTTGCACCACAGCTCCTGCTTTTATGTTATTCTCTAGTGTGTGTGCTGTGCTGTGTGAATGTGTGTTTTAAGTGGATCTGTTATGGCAGGAAGGTTTTGAGAGGATTTAGACAGCTTCTATTCATCTTCAACATGAACAAAATACTGAAGCTCAAATGCAAATTTTAGGCAGCAGCACTGTAGAATCATGTACAGCTCCAAAATGTTGATTAACTTGAAGCAGTGGACCAGTGAAGGATCACATAAGTGGATGTACTTACAACAGTCCTACCTGTAAACAACAATCAAACATCACAAGCTTATTTACATCGCGACAAGTAGTGAAAGTACCAAAAACACACACATCTGCTCTGTGCCGACAGGGAGCAGATCTTGCGGGTGAAAGCGGAGGAGGACAAGATCCCTCTCCTGGTGGTGGGGAATAAGTCAGACCTGGAGGAGCGCCGGCAGGTGTCCGTGGATGAGGCCCGAGGGAAAGCTGAGGAGTGGGGCGTCCAGTATGTGGAGACATCAGCCAAAACCAGAGCCAACGTCGACAAGGTGCATTTATACACACAAAAAACACTCAGTATATTCATATTCAGAACTTTATTTACTTTATTTGAAATGTATCTTTTTATCCCTTAACTGATTTCTTCTTCTTCTTCTTTTTTTCTTCTTTCCAGGTATTCTTTGACCTGATGCGTGAAGTACGAGGCAAGAAAAAGTCTGAAAATGAAAACAAAAATGGTAAAGGAAAGAATAAGAAGAACAAGAAGAGTTTCAAAGAGAGATGCTGTTTACTTTGAACTCCTCATGGACATTAACACACAACCCCACAATACAACTGTGGAGTTGGGCAACAAAGCAGAGCGTCATTGCGATTGTCATTCAAAGGAAATGTAATCTTTTTTTTAGTAACCGTTGTAGTTAAGTGTCTAGAACAGTCTCAACCACTATTTTTTGCTGTTTCATTGGAAGATAACCACTGTTGTGACTGTGACTGCAGTGCTTGATGGCTCAAGGTGAAGCCAGTGACCAAACTGCCACTGACACTAACTCTGCTGCTCCACTGTTTAACTCAGCGATTATACTGCCTTCGACTTTGGTTCAGTGTGTTTTACACCCGAATTCTTGAGTCTTTGTCAAAAACAGTGCTCTTAATTTCTTCATCTGCTCTTGATCTTAACCTGCACATTTTCAGTCTTGGTATGGACCCCTTGAGTCTATGATTATCAGTTTAGAACTCTAAAGCTGGTGTCTGTCATATTTGTAATGATTCATGATGACAGTGTCCTGTCTGTGAAGATGTCAGCCTCATTCACTCATCTGTCCAGACTTCAGCGTGTGCTTGGAATGACTGTTGAAACTGTGTCAAATGTTTTCATTGTTGAGGCTGCTTTTTTCAGCTGATCCAATGATGTGTGATATTTTTTTTGACCACAGAATAATCATTGTGCAAACTAAATATTTGTTGCCAAAAAGTTTTTTTTTTTTTAATTCCATTAACAGGCCTTACATGGTGAGTGCACATAAGTCACAAGATGCTTTGCAGTCTTCAGAATTATTGCTGCAAAGTGAAATCTTGATCTTGATTTAATGTCATAGAAATCCCTGAAATGTCTGATAGATACTCTACATGAAAGCCAGGCTGTAATATTGTCATGAGTATGCTGAGCAGCGAGTGAGAGGTGAGAGTGGTTCTGGTTTTCTTCATGGGGCTCTGCCATGTTCATGCATTCTGGCCTTTTCCACCCTTCTCACACTGCAGACTACTTCCTGTTTGGGGTAGAGTCGAAGTTTGGAGTCTTTGCTGGTTCTGCACTGTGAGACAGGTGTCGACAATCCAGGAGGCTGTCACGCTTCTGTCCCACGATGTCGTTCAAATCAGTAGCTGCTTAAGAATCGGAACAATACTGATGTCCTTCCTTTTTTAGTCCTGGGTCTTTCAAATAATATGCACTACATTGCCATTGCCTAAGAAGTGGGCTTCATGCAGAATGATGTCAAGCTGGAGATTTTGGAAACATTTGTGCCAAGAAAAAATTACAAAAAAAACTTTAACCATGTTTGTGGATGTACAGTGTGTTACCTGAGCATATGTGCATTTACCAGGAAACCCAACTTACCTTTCCATCTGTGTTACTGAAGCTTTGATGAGGGTGCCAACTTCTGAACTGCTTGATCAAGTGCTACAGTAAAAACAAGATGTTTCTACCACTGCCTGAACCATTCTTTGTAACATGTCCTTTTTTTTCTCCTTTACTTCCTATACTACTGTGAATATGCTTCTGTCTCTCTGCAGGGAGAGTGTTTCCCGAATAAATGCTTTTTTTTCTTTGTAAATACTGGATGTTATTTTGTTTGTGCGAAAACCCTTAAAAACTAAGTTTCTTTTATTCAACTGTCAGTGTGGAGGGAGACAGGGGGAAGGGGGTATGACGTGGTTATGTGATGTGAGTCTTCACCATTAGGCTACACGTGCCAGGAAAATCAGATTTTCCTGTCATAACCACTATAACATGATTTATATTTGGTCTAATTTGTGAAAAAAGTTTAAATGAGTGAATTTGCTTCCCCCAGAAGCCTTACATAAGTCATAAACACCTCCATTGTTTCATGGTGGTCATGAAACTCCTTATTATATGGACACTGTGCAGCCACGTTGGCATTGACCACCTAAGTGAAATGTTATGCTTGTCATTTCCTGTTTCCCCAGGGGCATCCCATGCCCCAGTTCAGTCAAAGAATCAACCAGTTACTCACTTTGCATTGATTGTTCCTCTGCCATCTAGAAACGAGTGCCAACAGCTTGTTTTTCCTCAATTTGACAGTGATATACAACCTCCATTTTTTATTAACCTTACATGCTTATCTGACATGGCAGGGATGGTGTAACATAACCCTCGAGTTGAATCAGTCACGGGCTCTCATCGTGGAACCCCTGGGGGTGGCCGGGTCAGCGAAACTCATTTCACAACGTGAACACAGGGTTGACTACACCACCAGGCAAAGGCTGACCATACATCACTTTGAAAATAGTTTTCCAGTGAAGGATAAGAGGAAGTGTCTTCCCTTTGTGGTGTGTAAAACGAAGGGAGTACAGTTGACTTTTAGTATGACTACATGTTCTATATTCCACTCTCTGATATGCATCCACTGCCTTTGAGATCCATGTAGGGCTAAAATGTTCCAAACAAATACCTGTAGGGACTTTCTTGCGTCTCTCTTACTCAGGTATGAGTTTATAGTGACCTTATTCTGCTTTATTTTAAATTCTACTGCAGTATTCCTGCAGGGATGGATGATTTACAGTGATATTTCTCCAACCTCCTGGGGACGGAGAGTCCATCTTTTCCAGGTGTATTTTAGCATTAAGTCCCCTTTGGTGTCGACACTAAAGTATCCCTCATGTCCCCAAATCAATCGGCCATTTGTTGGCGATGAAGCCGCTCCGGGCTGTGCATCTCGACAGCATCGCAGATAAGACTCACTTCTCGGCTCTTTTGGAGAGAATTGTGTATTTACAAGTATTGATCAGACGGCCCATCACAGGGTGAATACTTCAATTTAGTGTTGCTCCTTGCAGGAGAAACTAATTCTGTGGGAATTTAAACGTGCTGCAACTTTAATGGCAGCCACGGCTCTTTGTTTACCTCACACAAACACACTAATCCCCCCCATAATTTATATCAGCGCTGAAACACACCGGGTTTAAAAGACTGTGGCAGCATTTTTCCACAAGAGCAGCTAAACATGTCACAGCTCTCATAAGCACATTTACCTGCCTGACACTCACCTCTCTGGATTTCTACTCTCCCCCCTCTGTACCTCTAAGTAGGCAGATTAGGTGGTCTGTTAAACCCACAGGAAAGCACTTATTTAGAAATATATGAAAGGGCAAAGTGAGACAGGCTAATGACCGATGCAGTGTCACCGGCGCACTCTCGGGTCTTTTATCATTCTGCAGAGAGGGCCCCCGTCCTCTGAGTAACCCTCATTATATCAGAGCTAATGTTGGGGATGAGGATGTTCAAGTGATAAAGCACCATCACAGTCCTTCATTATACAGAAAGAGAAACAGACTCGGTGGAATTGTGCTCGACCTAAAAGATAAATGCAATGGACAGAGAATAACTCCAATTTTAGCGACTGTGCCACATCCTGCTGTCTGCACTGTGCGTCTCAGAGGGGGAGACATGTTCACACTCTGGCCATTGGATGGCAGTCTTGGTATTCTGTGCTGGCGCTCTGCTGCTCTATGCATCATTAGTGCTCTCACTATGCTTTTCCAATACGAGGCTTCATTTAGTGGGGACCATTGACTGACTGACTGCCACTGAGTGAATGGATTAGCCCATATTTAACAATCAGTTCATGCAGAATGAATGAATAATTCACAAATGCCTGTTAATATATTAATTATCACATCAGTAGCAATTCTAACAGCTTAATCTTTGTTTTTCATTTGTATAAATCAAGAACAAGTTTCCTTGGACAAAGTTAACATCACCAGCTGGGCACTGAAAACAACCTAATCCACATCATTAATTTCTGAAACAAATTCTCTTAACTCTACACTCATGTTGAATAAAAATATTTACTGAATGACAAGAGGAAAGTCAAAAAATATTCTGTTCACTCTCAACAACAACACTCGTCCTCTTCAGGGAACCATAACACTGCATCAAACAAATGTGAAATGTGACCGTATGCTCACTTAAGATGTGTATTGCTGCTATTATCACTTAAAAAAAAAAAGAAAAGATAGGAGAACCTATCTGGACTGTCATGCAACATCAGCCCATACTTCTCCCACATTGCATTGTGTGGCTATAATAGCAAAACTATCAACAGCTCCACACTGCAGCACAAATGACCTGCGCTGGAAGAACGAAAGCCTGTTTGAACCATCTGTTATTTTCTCCTCCACTCATGCCGTTTAGAAAAGGAGTGAGTCGCTCCCTCAGCAAATCCTCTCTGCAGACAGTGTCTTCATATTTTACTGCTTCTGTTACTGTGTGTGTATGTGTGTGTGGAATTTTGTTGAGGGGTAGGACATAGGATCAAGGATTTTTATTTTACTTTCTTTAACATTGAGAGATAAGCCATTTTTCCACATTTTCATTGATTTCTCTGAGAAAAATGAATGGAGCTTAATAAAAAGGCGCACGTTTAGACGACGTATGTGTGTGTGCAACGTGGTGCAGAGCCCCCCCAACATACACAGATGTCATGGATTTGAAAGGGGTTTCAGGTGTTAGGCCTTGGCTGAGGTATGCGCTTCTCTGAGTTTGTTTGTTTGTCAGCAAGGTAACGCAGGAACTACAAATCTGATTTTAACAATACTTGGTGGAAGAATGGGACATGGACAAAGAAAGAACCCATTAAACTTTGACATGGATCGGGGCAAAGAGGTGGATCCAGGAATTTCATTTCATTGTGAGGTAGCAGCCTTTGGAGAGGTATGTGCTCTACTGAGTGCCATTCTTGTTGAATATATATATATGTTCTATGACAATTTCTTTGTTAGTATTACCCGTCTTCACCATCACGTTATACACTTTTATTTTGATATGTCTGCTTTGGGGATGCAGCATCTGCAACATAATATGTTTTCATTATTAATTATTTTATTATTTTTGACTGAATCTTGGCTGCTATAATGAAATACCGGACAGTTTTACATCCCGGAGCCTAACAGTTATTTAAGTGAAACCATTTAAGAAGTTTAGAGGGGCAATCACTTTTTTGGTAGAACTGCTAACAACTCATAAATTTTTGAAATGTGAAAAAGGTGCCTAAGCCAGAAACTTGCTTTTATATATAAGGGCTCACAAGCCAATAAAAAAAACCGTTGGGGATCGCTACTTTAGAGGCTGGCTATACATGTGTCAGATCCTCACTGGGCAGCTGATGAAGACTCATTTTGCAGCATATTGGCTCCTCCTGTAAAACACAGTGAATACACCTCCTGTTACCACTCAGGTAGAGGTGCCTTTGTCTAACTTCAGGAACACCTGGATCTTCTTTTTACATGTGTACGACAACAGGTCACATTTAACAAGTCACTTCTTGTGTCATTTACCCACTAGTCTGTGTGTATGTGGAAGGGATATCTCGTGAACTGCTAATCTTATTGATTTCACACTTAGCATGTATATGCTTAGTGGTCCAGGGATGTGCAGTGTTAAATTTGGTGGGATTGTGCAGCACTCAGTGAGGATGGGGCAGTGTGCTTTTAATCTGTGGACTCAGTTGAACATTTTTTCCTCCTAGTCCTCTGATAAACTACAGCAGTGGTCGGCAACTGACTGCCTGCGACCAATAAAAACCCTTTTTGATTTTCTGATAACTTTACTTCACCATATCAGACTGAGTCAGACATTCACAGGTGATGCTGGAGCTAATCTTTGTCATGGCAACGACATTCATAGAATCGCTCCCTCTTTAAAAAGTTCCCTTCAAAGTAAAAGCACAATATTCATTTTATTGACATTGAGCTGAAATACAGAGCTTTTATTTTGAAATGTTGTGAACTTGGGTATGTTTGGAAAAAATGCGTAAAGCATTCAAACTGACATATAAACCACACATCTAAAGAATAATAAGTCAAATTCATTTTACAAACAGCATTGACTGTAGATGAACCAGGTAGGATGAATACAAAGTTTTCTCACTTCACTCTGCACATAGACTGTTTTAAAAAAAGCTTTGCACACAACTTTTAGAACAAGAACAATAAAAAGGTACAGTAAACTGTAGAACTATTATGGGAGGACTCACCAATGACAAGGAATAATTCTTATGATTTTTAAATTCAGTTTGTCATAATTTATTATGAGTAATAAATTAGTGTCCTCAAAGACTTGTATGGAATGACAGGAGACAGAGCAGCGAACATAGCTGTGAAACTGTATGATTAACACTGTCAAGACTGTTTTCTTATACTTCATAAGAATCTGCATATGTTAAACCTGTGGTCTAATTATGTCTAATTGATGTGTGTAATAACAGCGTCTTGTTGAAGCCAAAAATGGAAAACCAAGCCCTGTCACAGTGGAGTCGAGATTTAAAACATGGCGCAGCCACATAAACAACCAGCAATCTCTATTTTATTTTTTTGTGGACATGCAGCCCTCACTACACCGTGGCAGTTATTGGACTGTGGGAGAGCAGAGGCTTGGCAGTACACACAAATTAGATTACCTCCTGTATTCGGTAACGCAGGAGACATAGCTTCAAGCGTGGACGCTGAAATTAATGAGAGAAGCAATCTAGCAGGACCGATTGGAGGTTTAAGCAAACAGTGTGAATTAGAGTATGTCACGCAGCTCACTACATGG